AACCATGAACACACAGCTGTGCCGTGTCAGTGTGGGTCAGTTTTCAGCTCCTGTTGCCTGAGCTGATGAACATTCTTTGGATATTTCAGTCCAAACACATTTTGAACAGAACAAGGCAAAAACTTGTCTAAATGGAAACCGAAGAAGGCAGATTATCCACGTTTTCATAGCTGGCCGTCGACTTTGTTACTGATCTGTCACAAAAAGCATTTAGATGAAGAGGAGAAGGGCAGACATTTGGTGAGGAAACAGCTTGTGGGCCAGTTGCATGGGGCAGGCTGAGCCACCAACATTCACTAATGCCTGTTCAAGCCTTAAAGGATCAGTCTGGTTTGTCAGCCTGGAATATTCCTCATAAATGTGACCTGTACAGACCACACTGATGGCGAATGTCAGGGCAAGCGGCGTTAGCCTCCTACAGCTTCATTTAGGCTCAGTATGAATCTGTAGAATGGAGAAGGAGGTCACAGTGTTACTATGACGTATAGAGCCACATGAGAAATAAGCTTGAATTATTCTTCAGCGTAGTGGCTGAGTAATGCTGCATTTATTTAACCATTTGCTAGAGAGGAAGTGATGTGCTGTTCACTTTGGCCCTGATTATACAGTGCTCACTCGATACCATTCCTGTTATTCTAATTCAATCAGTGCACAGCGAGTGAGCTGCACATGCACACGTGTAAAACTTGTCCAGAGGAAATCAGACTAATCTCAGTTGACATCAAATCTTTAGAAAGCAATTTTATTTCAGCACAAGCTTTAAAATGATACTCTTGTACAGAAACAGAGGTCACCAGAGGTCAGAGACTGTAGTAAAATGTGATGTCACGGGGTCGAGGTCAGAGAGGGCTCTTCATGAACTGTCGTCACCATCGGTCTCATCCGAGCGGAGTCACGATCATCATAACTGCTCTCTTAGTTCTTCGTCATTAGCGTCATCATCGCCTTCCCTCTCTGTGGTCACGTGACTGATGAGGTCATGGTGGCGTCATAACAATTCCTGGCCACTGACTTCATCCTGACAGATACAGGAAATCGAATCTGATGTTTCAGAATATTTGCTGATGGTTAAATTTCTAAGAGCAGTGGGTTTGTGCAGTGTTTGTCATGTGTAACGTCTCCTATGAAGCTGTTTTACTGTTTATCCAGTGTAGCAGCCTCCACAGGACGAGTTACAGTTGTTAAATAATTAATCAATGTTTATATCTGCTTGTCATCAGGGGCCTAAGTTTAAATTATTTTAATTATGTGCTGTATTTATTGTGAAAGGGCTCCCAACAGGCCTGTGTGACATAAGAAAAGTGATTGTGGCGGTGAGTTCCAGTTTATTCTGTTGTTGTCTTATGCTTTAGGTGTGTAGCCTGAACAAAAGCCCTACACACCACAGGATTTATAGCTACAGTTAATTGGCAATGTCTGTCCTAGATGGGCCTCAAAAATTCATTCTCTTTATGTGACTTTTGTTTTAACCAGACAAATCCCTCTGAAGTCTACAATCTGTTTTTCACGGGAGCCCTGGCAGGAAACCGTGGAACTCTTATTGGTGAGCTTGAGCTCATTAAGTCCTATGAAACCTGGAGTGAATGTGAGTGAATCTGGTGTTTTTCATTAAAATGAATGATGTTTTCAGCTTGAGCAGTTTGCGCACACTGGGTGCCAATGAGCAGCTCCATCCAGAGTTTATGAACGATGGTGTCTGAACATCAGAGGAGTCGGTCTAAGTGCTGGTGGACTGATTAAATGTCAAAGGTGCATTTATTAGTAGAGACGTCCTGGTTTCGGGATCCATATTTGAATGGATCAGTGCCTAAAGTAAGGCCTACCTCAGGTCTTTCCATGCTTTCCTCCTGCTAGTGCTGCAGCCTGCTGCACAAAGTTAGTGTGTGAATGTGAGAAATTATTTGGATGCAGCGGTGACGCTGCATTCTGATGTCCGGGTCGCAAAACACACGGATTGGATGTGACCTCGATCTTTATGGTCTCCGTTGTCGAAAGCTTGTTCATACTTAGACTTAAATAAACCCGTCCTCGGCTGAACTGGGTTACCATCATTAGTCCTGTCGGGCAGGTGGAGTTCATCACTGCCTGGTTTTTGTTCTGCTGCTAACGCTGATCGATCACACACTGCCACTTCCTGCTGCTGGCCACTTTGTCTCCCTGTGTGTGGGAGAGATTTCACACACTGAAACAGGAAGGCAAAATCAAAACCCAGCCAGTGTGTTGGATGTATTTGAATGCACGGGCGTCATTACTTTTTTCTTTGGTCATTGAACTGAGCTAGTAAACAGAGGCGTGTGCATGTGTTTTTGGACTGTGTGAGATGTTAACAGTTAAAGTTGTAACTTTAGACGATGATCACCACTGTCGTTATTGTTTGGTGAATGGGGCTGCAAACAACTGACTTTATTCGGTTGTTTAATTTGATTGACATTTTGGCATTGTGGCTCTATAGCTTGTATCTAATTAAACATGTGCCCTGGTTGCAGTATTCCAGAGGCCGTTACTCTAAAAAGCCATAAACCAGTCATTCCTTTCTTTTCACTACAAGTTAGAAGTTCTTACTTTCATTCAAAGTAAAGAATTAGTTACGTACCATTGTGCCAAATGTTGTAGCTCAGTTACTTAAGTTGGAGCCACATTTTGTACCGGAGTCAAACCCCTTGTGTGTTTAGACATACTTGGCCAGTAAAGCTGATTCTGATTTTATTCATGAGTTTATTTTAGTTGAAAACTAATTTAACCCCGTAAGATCACAGAGATGAACGAGGACTTCAGCAGGTTGGATCACCTGCCAAATTTACATTTGTTTGCATATTCCTGATTTGTACCTGCAGCCTTCTCTGCACAACAGATGCCATCTTTTAATTAAGAGAATAAATGAGAGAGATTTTTTTCTTGTTGTTATTTTCCCCATGAAGCTGCTGTCTGTCAGGTTTTATGTTGGTGAAACCAGCAGACAGGATGAACTGGGAGCTTGTTGCATATTTTATTCAGATAACAATATGAATAAAACATTTTATTTGTGTGCTTGCTGCATCTGGTGGTGCTTAAAAGGATTTTGAGACACAGCTGGGGTGAAGGGGAGGATGCACACATGGGCAGTGTGTGTGCAGTGCCATGCTGTGACAGCCTGAATGTCAGGGAGAGAGAGAGAGGAAACAGAGTGAGTGGACAAGAAGGGAAAGGAAGATTGGAGGAGACAAACAGGGAACGACAAGTAGAGAGTTTGTTGTCATCCAGCCATGCTTTAAAAGTCTTTTTAATATGGGGATATTACATCTTTAAATTCAGTGTGAAAGTGTTTTTGTCCTGTATTTTTCTGCCTTTCTGAGAACCAGTCTGAGACCAGTGCACTGAAAAATGTTTAAAAGCCTAACGCTTATGGAGACAAAGTAGTCGGCTGGTGCTGGAGTTCTGGGGGTGTCTCGTGTCTCGAGCAGGTAATTTACATGCTCTGTCATGACTGGACGGACGTCTTCTGACGTATACGCCGTACTCTGTACTGCTGTACACGCTTTAGTCCATTTCCTATTGCACAGCTTGTTTACAAGCAGGTGTTTTTAAATGATGCAAGGCAGGTTTGATCAGATTCTGTTTCACTTGGTTTTACATTGTTATTGTGATACTGAACTTTGTCTTTCAGAGCTCGTTCTCTCTCTGTTTGAAAGAGTCGCACCAGATCAGAGTTGGTGTGTTTTGTCTGGCACGGTTAGACCCAGAGGGAACCTCCACAGAGACCTCAGTGGGTTCTGGGGTCCACAGCAGACGTTCTCTTCATCTTCCCCCCGTTCCATCCAGGCCTTACAGGACAAACTGCAAGCAGAGAGACAAAGGTTATTTTTAGTTTGAAATCTAAATATTCTAATTTAAACCATTTTATAATTGACATCCAAAACCTTGATTTCCTTTCGTGTTCAGTTTTGGTCTCAGTCGGTTCATATTTGATGTAAAAACATTTTCTTTCGGCCACAACAAGAATCAGTTTGACTGCAGTGCTGGAGAGAAACAAAACGACCCCCATGTTCTGTACAGCTCTCAAGTAAACCTTTCAGTTTGAGCTGTTAGAAAGTTGATCTAAATGGATTTAATAGGTGCTGCATTCACATTTAATACTGTGCTGTTGAACCTGTGTAGTACAGCCAGTGTTCAGTTTACTGTTATATAAAATGAGTCCACATCCCCCTACTGCAGCATCACCCCCACAGGAATAGTTGGACTGACAACCAAAAAGCTATCTGACACATTTTATTTATTCATTACAATTAGTTCTCCTGCCTCCAAACATGTAATGGACTTAATACTGTTTCTGCAGCTGCATTTAGCTGAAATAGGTTTTTTTTTATAAGATATTTAGTCAAGAAAGGTCCGAAGTGATGTGTGTATGGTTGTAGACTACACAACTACTACCCAGGGCCTGACCTTCGTGTCCTCAGTGGTACTGTAGCTGCAGCCCTGTTTACCGATGAAGGTTTCCGTGTTTTAACATTTAGTTCTCGTGTTGCAAGCTGTTCGAACTTGTGTTCAGTCTGCACACTGCTGTGCGCGCTGTGGTTTGGATGCAGGTTTGCATCTGTATGAGCTTTTGTTACTGGATGTAGTGGCTGTGTGTGTGTGTGTGTGTGTGTGTGTGTCCACAGCCTGAAGAGCAGCAGCAGCACTGCCTCCTCCAATGCACTGGTTTCCAGCTCGTGTCTCCTCCAGACCAGAAAATAGACGGTTACAATGCACATGTGTAGTTCTGTACTTGTGAGGACAGTCACTGACATGTTGTTACACACATGATGTCATTCTGTCCTTTGTTTCATTATAACCTTTCATAAATGTCCTCTGTCCTACCTTTGACCTTACCGTGTGCTCCTTCCTTTCTTTCTTTCCTTCCATCCTCTCCTCATTCTTGTTTTCTTTCCTAATTTGTTCAGTGTCTGAATCTTTATATTTTTTGACCTCTGCATATTTCTCTCTCTCTCTCTCTCTCTCTCTCTCTCTCTCCTTTTCTCCAGTTTCCTCCAGTGAAGCTCGTCCACTCACATTAGGAAATCTGGCCTTGTCTTGTACCATGAGCATCGTAGCTCTCTCACCTGTGGCCCCCGAGCCACTGTCCCCGATGATCACCTCCATCACCCCCATCACCCCGATCCTGGACCCTGACACCGCCACCTCCTCTTCCACTGTTTCCATTGTCCCTCTCTGCCTGGGTCAGTCTGAGGACGGGGCCTCCTCGCCGGGACCTGACCTCAGCCAAGTCAGCCTCTCTGGGGGAGGACCTCACCTGGGGCGAGACCCCTCCCAGAGGTGACAGATCAGCCTTGATGAGAAACTTATCTTTGATTTTTATTTTTGACTTACTGTTTATATAAAATTAGTGCAGCTTCAAGACCGTCTGTGGTGTTTCAGGTCAAAGAAGCCTCCACCCCTCCACACTGGAGCCGACTGGAAGGTGGTGCTCCACCTGCCAGAGATCGAGACATGGCTGCGAGCCACCAGCGACAGAGTCACGCAGCTCTCGCACTCTGTGGTACAAGACGGTGACAACAGACACGTGGACGTCCACCTGGTGCAGCTCAAGGTAGACACATACACTTTGTTGTGGTTATTTGGGCGACTGTTGTTCCACCTCATCAACGTGGTGCATCAGTGTGACACCAATCTACAGGAGTTTGACATCACCTGGTTTGTTCAGTGTGCCAGGGTGCAGTGCGCACACACGTCACTGTCCACACCAAAGCGCTGTTTATGGAAACCCAGTCACTACCACATCAGTTAACCAGCATACAGACACTGGGTTTGCTGCTGCCAGTCTGCTTTTAGCTTCAGTTTTTGTGTTTTGTTCTTCAGAGTGTCCCCTGGGTCTCTGATCGCTTGGTGGTTAGGACTTTACTGTCCAGTACTGCACCCAGACACTGTGCAAATACACACCGAGTGTCTTTGTCAGCGAGTGTTCTGCTTAAATGAATGTAAAAGCTGCTCCACCTAACGCATCAGATATACTCACAGTAGTGAGTTAAAAATAAATACAGCGCTGCATCAGGTTTCAGGCACCAGAAACTGTTCTAGATCTTTTAAATTCTCCAGCCCTCTGAAATGGCTGCCAGTGAATGCTGAGAAGGCTTCTCGCACCGTGGATGCAAAGACCTTGTTGTGTCCAGAGTCAGTAGGACAGCTGCTCACTGCAGTATATGCAGATGTGTATTGAAGACAGTAGAACATCAGCTGATTCAGCTGTCTGACTTCAGGCAGTGAATTTCCCATAATCCTCGTCCTCTCTCCACGGCCTGTTAGACCAACGCTTGTGTCTGAGCTAATCTGAAGACTGAAAAAATGACCGTTTGACACACCAAACTGATACCGATGTGGATTATTTTATGTAGCCTGCAAAAACACTATTCATTCCTTTATACACATTCTGCAAGTTAGTTCATATGCTTTTGAAAGAATATGTATTCATTCGATGTCTCATTGCTTCTGTACCATTCTGTCAAATGGAAATATTCCATACTTTATAGCATATTTTACTCCACATATTTACCAGAATTTCAATGTTGAACATGTGAAGAGCTGCAGCGGTTACACACAGAGAATGTTTATATTGACAACTGAAGTCATCAGTCATAATTCAAGTCATTTTTTAAGACAGAATGCCACAGTCCTCTGGCTCCAGCTTCTTAAATACGTTTACTTCCTGGTTCCTTTAGTATCCTGTGATGTGAACCTCTTCTTTGGACCGTTGGCTGCATATTTGAAGACATGACCTTTGTTTCTGGGCGTTTGTGATGCATTTATTTTACCCTACGGTACCATAACTGTTAGCTGCAGCCTTACCATCCATCCATTTTCCTCCGCTTATCCGGGACCGGGTCGCGGGGGCAGCAGTCTAAGCAAAGATGCCCAGACTTCCCTCTCCCCAGACACTTCCTCCAGTTCCCAGGCCAGCCGAGAGACATAGTCCCTCCAGCGTGTCCTGGGTCTTCCCTGGGGCCTCCTCCCAGTGGGACATGCCCGGAACACCTCCCTAGGAAGGCGCCCAGGAGGCATCCAAAACAGATGCCCGAGCCACCTCAGCTGGCTCCTTACCTGTTTGGTCTAATTTCTTGATTCCCTCATTTCTTCTTCTATGAAACTAATCTTCCTCAGCACTGTTTCAGCTCCCTGCACTGCCTCTGAACTGTGTCGTCACATTGCGCAAGTGACAGAGACCTGTATTTCCAGACCCATTTCCTCATTCATAAAGACGCTGTTTTATTGTTTAGAAGCATGATGAGTGCGTATTTTTAACTACAGTGACTCAGATGTTTCCTCTTTGTCAGACGGCTGCTGCTCGTGGGGTTTCTTGGTCACGCACACACTTCAGGCTGCTACCACTTGTTTACATCTTCACTCACATAGAAAACAAGAGCTGGTTACAGTTAGAGAGAAAGCAGAAGTGAATGACCATAAATGAGCAGTGCAGCTCTGACCAGTTAGAAGATATTTAGGATAAATAAAGTAATAATAAAGTAATATTGTCCAAAATTCATGTTGTCCAGCTGCAGCATTGTGATTTTCTTCTTCCTAATCTGGGAAAGAATTTAGTGAACTTCATAAAAATGTACCCAAATTTGTCTCTTTAAGGAGAAGCCCAACACCAGGCTGGAGTCCTGGAGTACACGTGCACATCACTGCAGCAAAGTCAGCAAAGACAAGGTTGTCATGAGGGCTTAAATTACTCTTCACCTAGAAGATGAACTGGTGGCGCCCTCTGGTGGTGAGAACGCCAAAGAACTAATAAAAAGGAGAGGAAATAAACGTTATGGTGCTGCAGGTAGTGTTTTTATAGCCCAGCTCTGACTGAGATGCTTTTTAGAAAACCAAAAACCAGGGTTTGTTTTTAAACATTAAAAACAGTAATGCATAGCTGTGACCACCTGGGTTCACTCTGCAGTTTTTCCAGCTCTGGTTTTACCCTCATGATTTCTAATCAGTACAGTACTTCAAATCTATTCTGCTGTGACATATACTTTGGCTCTGTTGACTTTCAGATAACATGAAATTTTATCTATCACTCGGACTTTGTCATTGTTGACATGATAATCATCAAATCTTCTGTCCTTCATGTTCTGAGATTCAGCAGTTTGTCAGAACGTAGACAGTAAAGCAAGGGCAGGGGAGCACTTCAGTTCAAGGGCACGTAGACAGTAAAGCAAGGGCAGGGGAGGAAGCTTCAGTTCAGTCAGAGCTGGAAGGCAGAAGCAGAAGTGACTCCTCCTGCATCTGTTCTCACCTCTTCACTTCATGTTGGTGTCAGATCCGCAGTAAACGTCAGCTGTCACACAGTCAGACTCAGTCAGGGTGGTGAAGTACAACTTTAGCACCTGGCAGTCAGTCCAGATGTCCAGCTTCATTTTTTTTATTCCAGAAAAAAAGTTTATTGTTTGTAGTTGAAGAACAAAACTTGTGTGATCTATTGCAAACTAGTTTTACCTTCTAACAGCAGAATCCTTGAACAATAAGACTGATGACGGCTGCATGTTGTGGATGTTTAAATAATACTGATGAGGGCAGTAAAGGACAAACAGGTGGAGGCTTCCTGAGCAGCTGATGATGAACGCTCCTCCCCTGGTTGACAGCCCCATCCAGTGGTCAGTCTTCTGCATTACAACAGAGTGGAGGAATGGTTCACAGATACTCACTGCAGGGCCGTTTAATACAAACACCTCAAAGCACTCTTTTCTGATGCTTTAGACGTTTTGTCTTTTATTCAAGTGCATATATTTGATCAATTTGGAGTAACAGCATGAATTAAAGCAAACTAGAACACCACAATGGTCATGTGAACCACGTTTACTCTGCTGTTATATGTGGACACTCTAGATTATATTCATTAATTATATTTGTGGCTCATTATTGATTATTTGATGTTAGTTTTGCTTTACCGGAAACAGGCACATAAGCCGCATCAGAACCGGACGTCAGCAGACTACAGTCATGCACAGAGCCTGTTGCAGCAAGAGACGATGGGTTATGATCATGTCTGTGAGGATGTTTGACTGCAATGAGATAGATTTGGTTAACAGGTATCTGTTTTTGTCAGCTGCTCTCGTCGTGCTGCAGCACAGGCTGGTCCACATACCTGTACCACTGACAGGGTCAGTTCTGACTGCTCACAGGTGACAGAAAAGAAGTGCACTTAGCAATAGTTATAAAACCAACAAATAACTTGATTATTTCAGAAAAGTAAAAACTAACCACTGTATTTGATCACCTGGTCGTTCTGGGGGTGTCTGACTATAGTTTGTTTGGCAGGTTTTTGGTTTGGGCTTCGTACTGACACCACGGTACCAAACTCAGGCAGCTTAACTGTGACCACAGGACTGTAGAAAGTCAGTGCTCAGTGTTTCGGAGCCGACCTCAAGCGCTCCAGCC